TTCTATCCGTATAAGTGTTTTTAGTAAACCTGATTCTATTGAATCCTAACTTCATTCTCAAACAAAACATGCTCCAACTGATGTTATATGAACTTATTTATTCCTTGCATTTTTTAAATGAATATTTATTTCAGTTAAAAAATCTAGCTTAATAGAAAAATTATTTTATGATTTATTTTAAACTTTAGTTTTAACTATCATAGTTTTGCAATATTTAAGAAGAAAATTGTTTAAAATATTTATATTTTAGCTTGTTAACTTGAGGCTTATAGATCGAATTGAAAGTATTTTTGGCAGGGCTGTAGAGTCGCGTAAAAATCTACCTACTCCGACTCCGACTCTTCCTTACCATTCGACTCCGACTCCGACTTTTCCTTACCATCCGATTCCGACTCCGACTCCGACCAGGGCGGACTTGTTACCGAAAGAGACCCGAAATTCTGATGTCATCACGTGACCTCAGAATAAAAGATTCAATAAATAGAGTTCTAATCGAGATAGAACATAGAAGAGTCTTTTAGCTTTGAAATAAAAAGTTTCTAAGTAATATATAAATATGTATTCGATAATTTTTATTTTTCCGGCTGTTATGTATAACAGAGGATATATAAAAATGACCCCCTCCCAAATTTTTACAGTTTTGGACTCGGAACACCTTGAAATTTAGAGTTAATTAAGCAAAATATTCGAGGTTTTTTCTATATGTGTGGATGTTAGACTGTGTGGGGGGCATGATTTTGTTCACCCTGTTTGAAGCCTAATAATTTCTGTGGTCAAAGTGGTCAGAATCGGAGTCAGATGGTTTAACACAGGAGTTAGTTATTAAGCGTCAATGTGGTTGAACTAAATCGTGTTCCCATACACATTCTAACATCATAGGCGAGAACATCTTAACTGTTTTACTGTACTATTATAAAATGACAAAAAAAGCTTACTTTGAGGGTAGAGACGAGTTTTATTTTATTTTTTTAAATTTTCAACGCTAATAACGAGTAAAATATTCATTAAGACATATGACACATGACCCCTTTTATGTCTTCACCTTGTCGACCTTTAATTATGAACCAAAATTTAATAGTATTAATGCCCCTTAATACTCAAGCTACAGTGCCACATTTCGTTTCTTAAACTTTACCCATTCTGAGATATTGTTTAATATCTCAGAACAGAAAATAAAGAAATTAAACAAATTAGACGCCAACACACAATTTTCCCCTTTTATTGACTTTTTTGAGGGGTTCGGGAGGTCTTCAAACGTATAGATGTGCAAAAAAAAAAAAAAAACATGGAGGGTCAAATTTGATACGATTCCAATACTTTTCTCTTTGATATACATAAAAAGTTGGTAATTAAAAAGGAGTCGGAGTCGGCGGATTTTTTGACGACTCCGATTCCGACTCCGGCTAAAACGCCAAAACTCCACAATTCCGACTCCACAGCCCTGATTTTTGGTTAAGGTTTTATTTTAAATGTATTTTTCTGTTTTAGAAGTGTATTCGATGGATGTGTTTCAATGGTATATACGTTTACATGAGTTTAGGTTTTCCTTATTGTTATAAAAATTTAAATTCGTAATCATAAAAATAACATTTAATTTACCTTTAACATCATTAAAATTAAACAGTTTGTATAATTCATAGAATTTCAGACTTCATATTAAAAGAATAAATAATTATAAAATTTTGATAATTACTTTATAAATATTACATTTATTAAATGCTTTTATATTGTTTATAGAAATCGAAATGTAAATATTATTCAACAATTTTTATGATAAAATTTGAAATTATTGTTACATGAATTCGCAAAATTTATTTAATATGATTATTAATAGTAAATTAAGTGGTAAATAATTTTTATTTATTCAAAACATTAAATTTAATAATTTTATTTGTTTTAAATTTTTGAAATAAAATAATTTAATTTAACATATCATATTTATTCATTATTAATATTAAATATGCATTATATTGTATTATTTGTAAATTTAATAAAAATTAAACATCTTAAAGCTATTAAACTGAATTCTAAATATGTATTTACTTTAATATTTATTTATTTTATATTATTATCATTTATGATTTTTTTATTTATTTTATGAGAATAAATATATAGACCTATATACATATTTATGAAATTTAAGCTTGTATGAAGCCATAGCTATGAATTCATATGTTTCGCGTCAGTGTCAAAAAGGATTTTTTTAATATATATATTTACAAAGAAAAGTAGGAATTTAGTGACAAATCTGACTTCAAAAAATTCTGTTTTATAATATGAAAGGTAAACTTATCAATCATTCTAAAACAGACAAAAGACAGATTTAGGCCACGAAATGCCGATAGTGATAATGCATTTTTTAAAGTGTCATGCACAGAATGATGAAATTTCAATTACGTAAATGGATGTATCTATATTTATGGATAGTTACCAAATAATAAAAATTCTAAAATAGAAAAACAAAGTAAAAATAGTTTTATAATATCATTCTAAGAAAAGTTTCGTCGTAAACAAATTTATAGTTTATATATTCTATATTTAAAAACACACAATTACTGATTATAAAATGAAGTAAACTTTTATATAAATGAATAAATTAATTTTAAAAATCTTATTTTTAATACTTACTTCATTCAGTAATTATTCTTAATTATGAATTGTTAAATTAATCAATAGAAAGTAAGCAACAGCTAAGAACTCTGATTCTTTAAATTATCTGAGGTGTAGTTATTAAATTTTATATTTTTCGCATGATTGATTGCTATCATTAAATAAACGCAAGATAATATTTTTAAAAAAGAAAAAAGTTCACGGGTATTTACGCATTTATTTTCATAAATTTAAACATCTTCGGTTTAAATTTGTAAACTTTTTTATATACTTCAATTTATTGGACAATCTTTTTTTATGGTTTGTTCATTAAACGTATTTACCACATCAACATGAAAATACCTATAAGCATCTCTCTGTTCTCATTTGTTATGTGCACAAACAAGTTTCCACTAACTATGCAGATTCTTGTAAAGTTTTAATACGGTTACTAATAGGAGAACATTTGTAACTTTTTTTTTAAAATGATTAATATTTGACAATTTAAGGCATAAATTTATATCATATCAAATAAAGTTGATTTATTAATGTGCATTGTAAATAAATTGTTTTAAAATTGTAAATTCTAATGGTTTTGAGTTTTAAAACATGTAAACTCAAACACAAAAAATACTGCAGACAAATTTTCGAAAATAATAAAAGAAACAACCCACGGTCATACAAAAGATCTAAAAGATTCTGTGAAATCTTTAAGGCCTTTTGTATGTGTTTCTTGTACATTTGTGTGATCAATGGATTTTTGATATATATTGTTATAAATGTTAAGATATTATAGATATTCCTTTTATATTTTTTCATTAATTATAATTGAATTCAATATACTATATTAATATGGCGTATAGTATGGGACTGCATATAACTTACATTATAATAATTATTATTTACACGTTAATAATCAATTTGTAAAAAATTTAAATACATTTTTCAAAAACATTTCTCTGACATATTCTGTATTGTTAGTTAAAATTATACGAGAGAATAATAATTACAACTATTCAATTTAGAATTTTAATTTTATAAAATTTCACTTAATTTTAATTAATTTCGTAAATCGGTTTAATATAAATATCTATTTTTATTTTTAGAAATGTATTCTATATAGCTTAAGATGTTAATAAACACATCTATGTATGATATGCGCCGTTGATTTTAACTACCTGTCTCTTATTTTGTAAATTTTGTAGTAAACAAGAATTATTTATTTACTTAATGTAAACGAGATAAAGTTACCAAAAGATTATTTTCTTCAATTTTTAAAGGTAACTTTTACAATACAATCTTGTCATACAGTCTACTTAACTGTATTATTAAACTGGCATTTAAAACAGGAATACATTTAAAAAACAAATAATCTTTAATAATTTGAAAAGAGAAATTAGTAAGATGCTATTCTTAATAATATTTTAGAATATTTATCACTGAAATAATTATATATATACCCGTAAGGAGACGAGTATGAGATATGAAAGAGATAATAGGTACATTTTAAATTTAGTTTAATAAATCTTTTATAAGTAAAAATGAAAGTTTCTAACTTCTCATTTTCTTTTTCTTTTTTCTGTTCGTAGTTATTAAAACTGTCACTCATCATTGTATTGTTTTAAATTGACTTTATGCTTCTCTTAGCTAGATCCGGACAAAGTCGACTGCTTTAAACGAAAACGACGTTTATATCTAATCACAATGTGACAGGTATTATACAGAATGACAACTCAATCTTAAGTTAAAAAATTTCATAAAAAACTCGATATAAAAATGTTGACAGCTAAGCTGATTACATATCAAATGGAAGAATCCATCTTTGTTTAATGCGGTTGGAGGCATTAAAATATGACATTCACTTAATACTACATTATTAAATTTAAATCACATTTTAAACATACGGTAATAATTATTACGAAGAAAGACTGATATGCTTTATTTTTTAATTAGCTGTATGAATATTTTTGATACAATATTTTTAAAAAAAATCATATAAAGTATTCTTGTTTAAAAGTTTGGTAGTTACATTAAATAAAAAAGTTTTCTACAGTAGAAACATATAAAATTCGTAATTTAAAAATATTTATATAATTAATTCATTATGAAAAATATAAGAAAGTAATTTATATTAACAAGGAGATTAATAATTTGAAAAATTTTAACGATCAAAAGATTATTAGAGAATAGTTTCATAAAATGAATAGAGTGTATATTTTTTAAATTATTAAAAATTTTAATTATATTTTAGAAAAAATCAGAATTATCTACTATAAAGATGAATTACACCAATAAATAAATCGCCTTTAAAGCCTTTATTATTTATACTTAAAGTATTGATACTACATAGAATTATAATTTAAAAATTTGTATAAATTACATATATATAAGAAAAAAACATAGATATTTACCTGTTACTATTAGTTGTCCGGTGGTAGAACTTTTCTTGTCTTCACCAGAAAGGATGTTCCGAATATTACATTCATATTTCTTTAAACTGTCAGCTCTGTCAGCATTCCTGATGTGTAGTTCGCCATCATGTATCATAAGATATTTTGTATCTTCGTGTCGAGAATTTAATATTTTAAAAATATAATATAATTTAGGATTAAAATAAAATCAATTTCAATTAATATTAAACTATCAAGTTAAATTTAAATAAACAATATATTAATTAACTATAAAATATTGTTTAAACACATTTAATCAAGGAAGATTGTTTAAAGATGTTATCATTAAACATAATAAAATAATTATATACATGAAAGATATATTAAATATTTATAAAACAAATAAAATTTCCTTCATTTATTTACAAATTGAAAGATTTATTTAGAGATAAGTTAATTGCTTTATATATTATTAAATATTTATAATTCAAACGAAGATTTATTGATTTGTTTATAGATATTAAGAGGATCGTTATAAGATAATACAAGCAATTGTATTATTTATTTATATCTGTTATTAAAAATTTAATTTAAAATTAACTATCAAGAGAGATATTAGTTCTAGTTTTAAATTTTAAAAATTAAATAATAATTCAATTTGAGTCAAATATTCGCCTAAAGAAGATTAGTAAAAGCAGAAATTTAAGGAACAAAATCGCTCTTCAAGTTTTAATCAAATTTTTGATATCAAAACATTACATTTAGGAATACAACAAATGTTATTAGTAAAGAAAAATAAAAATCTAAATAATAGTAAAATATTTTTATACTTTATGCATTTTATAAATGTTTTATCTTAAGTTTATCTTAAAGTGGAAAGTAAAAAAAAGCAAAAGATATAAAACCCCTAAGGATCTAAGTTCTAAATTTTGAATGATGATAGTGATGCTAATGCATTTCTTGAATCCTTTAAAATTGTTTTTAAGCTTAAGATATCACCTGTAGTACCATACTATACCTTATTGATTTTTTTAACCTTTGCATACATTAATAATTGAGAATCATGCTAATTAAACTTGTTAAATTAAGCGTTATCTGATTTTTATGTACATTTTAAAGTTTTTAGCCGCGGAAAAAAACCATATAAATTTCGCTTTGTTTTTAATTAAATTATTGAAGCGGAAAAGTTTATTTTCATCAAATATGTATCGTTTAAAAATTGTTAAATCCATTAGTTCTCAAGTCTAAAGAAGTTTAAAGCTTATGATCACTGAATTGTAAGAGATTTCTTCCTGTTACTGATTTTCAAGAGTCCCCTTCAAGAAAGTTGCACGTTGAATTTATAATAGCTAACGATTTTAAGAGAATTATCTTCTAATTCTGAATAACATTCTATCTCGATTTTCGTGAGTAACCGAAATTTTATACATTAAATAGTCCTACGCTTAATTAAACTGATGTTGCNAATATCTATTTTTATTTTTAGAAATGTATTCTATATAGCTTAAGATGTTAATAAACACATCTATGTATGATATGCGCCGTTGATTTTAACTACCTGTCTCTTATTTTGTAAATTTTGTAGTAAACAAGAATTATTTATTTACTTAATGTAAACGAGATAAAGTTACCAAAAGATTATTTTCTTCAATTTTTAAAGGTAACTTTTACAATACAATCTTGTCATACAGTCTACTTAACTGTATTATTAAACTGGCATTTAAAACAGGAATACATTTAAAAAACAAATAATCTTTAATAATTTGAAAAGAGAAATTAGTAAGATGCTATTCTTAATAATATTTTAGAATATTTATCACTGAAAGAATTATATATATACCCGTAAGGAGACGAGTATGAGATATGAAAGAGATAATAGGTACATTTTAAATTTAGTTTAATAAATCTTTTATAAGTAAAAATGAAAGTTTCTAACTTCTCATTTTCTTTTTCTTTTTTCTGTTCGTAGTTATTAAAACTGTCACTCATCATTGTATTGTTTTAAATTGACTTTATGCTTCTCTTAGCTAGATCCGGACAAAGTCGACTGCTTTAAACGAAAACGACGTTTATATCTAATCACAATGTGACAGGTATTATACAGAATGACAACTCAATCTTAAGTTAAAAAATTTCATAAAAAACTCGATATAAAAATGTTGACAGCTAAGCTGATTACATATCAAATGGAAGAATCCATCTTTGTTTAATGCGGTTGGAGGCATTAAAATATGACATTCACTTAATACTACATTATTAAATTTAAATCACATTTTAAACATACGGTAATAATTATTACGAAGAAAGACTGATATGCTTTATTTTTTAATTAGCTGTATGAATATTTTTGATACAATATTTTTAAAAAAGAAAAAAGTTCACGGGTATTTACGCATTTATTTTCATAAATTTAAACATCTTCGGTTTAAATTTGTAAACTTTTTTATATACTTCAATTTATTGGACAATCTTTTTTTATGGTTTGTTCATTAAACGTATTTACCACATCAACATGAAAATACCTATAAGCATCTCTCTGTTCTCATTTGTTATGTGCACAAACAAGTTTCCACTAACTATGCAGATTCTTGTAAAGTTTTAACACGGTTACTAATAGGAGAACGAGAACATTTGTAACTTTTTTTTTAAAATGATTAATATTTGACAATTTAAGGCATAAATTTATATCATATCAAATAAAGTTGATTTATTAATGTGCATTGTAAATAAATTGTTTTAAAATTGTAAATTCTAATGGTTTTGAGTTTTAAAACATGTAAACTCAAACACAAAAAATACTGCAGACAAATTTTCGAAAATAATAAAAGAAACAACCCACGGTCATACAAAAGATCTAAAAGATTCTGTGAAATCTTTAAGGCCTTTTGTATGTGTTTCTTGTACATTTGTGTGATCAATGGATTTTTGATATATATTGTTATAAATGTTAAGATATTATAGATATTCCTTTTATATTTTTTCATTAATTATAATTGAATTCAATATACTATATTAATATGGCGTATAGTATGGGACTGCATATAACTTACATTATAATAATTATTATTTACACGTTAATAATCAATTTGTAAAAAATTTAAATACATTTTTCAAAAACATTTCTCTGACATATTCTGTATTGTTAGTTAAAATTATACGAGAGAATAATAATTACAACTATTCAATTTAGAATTTTAATTTTATAAAATTTCACTTAATTTTAATTAATTTCGTAAATCGGTTTAATATAAATATCTATTTTTATTTTTAGAAATGTATTCTATATAGCTTAAGATGTTAATAAACACATCTATGTATGATATGCGCCGTTGATTTTAACTACCTGTCTCTTATTTTGTAAATTTTGTAGTAAACAAGAATTATTTATTTACTTAATGTAAACGAGATAAAGTTACCAAAAGATTATTTTCTTCAATTTTTAAAGGTAACTTTTACAATACAATCTTGTCATACAGTCTACTTAACTGTATTATTAAACTGGCATTTAAAACAGGAATACATTTAAAAAACAAATAATCTTTAATAATTTGAAAAGAGAAATTAGTAAGATGCTATTCTTAATAATATTTTAGAATATTTATCACTGAAATAATTATATATATACCCGTAAGGAGACGAGTATGAGATATGAAAGAGATAATAGGTACATTTTAAATTTAGTTTAATAAATCTTTTATAAGTAAAAATGAAAGTTTCTAACTTCTCATTTTCTTTTTCTTTTTTCTGTTCGTAGTTATTAAAACTGTCACTCATCATTGTATTGTTTTAAATTGACTTTATGCTTCTCTTAGCTAGATCCGGACAAAGTCGACTGCTTTAAACGAAAACGACGTTTATATCTAATCACAATGTGACAGGTATTATACAGAATGACAACTCAATCTTAAGTTAAAAAATTTCATAAAAAACTCGATATAAAAATGTTGACAGCTAAGCTGATTACATATCAAATGGAAGAATCCATCTTTGTTTAATGCGGTTGGAGGCATTAAAATATGACATTCACTTAATACTACATTATTAAATTTAAATCACATTTTAAACATACGGTAATAATTATTACGAAGAAAGACTGATATGCTTTATTTTTTAATTAGCTGTATGAATATTTTTGATACAATATTTTTAAAAAAAATCATATAAAGTATTCTTGTTTAAAAGTTTGGTAGTTACATTAAATAAAAAAGTTTTCNTTGTGTAGTTAAAAGATTTTCATTGTTGCTGAAGCTATGGGAAATTGTATATTTTGGAAGAAAAAACAAAATAAAATAATAGGATACCGGTAATCCACTTTAACCTATACGATTCGAGATCAAATTTCGATTAGCTAGCAATCAAGCAAGATGAAAGAACATGAAAAAGGGCGATCGAATCTATTGATGCAGTTTTTCCATTTGTTCAGAAATGTAACACCATTTCCGTTAAAATAAAATTTGTAAGGTAACGTATTATTTTTGAAAAATGAAAAATAGTTATTATTTGTCATTTTTCAGATCGAATCGATTGATACTTTTTTCCGTACATTTTTGAATAATATCGTAACAGCTTCATTATTTTAACAAAGTATCATAAACTAAAAAGATAATGGAATACAACAAATGTTATTAGTAAAGAAAAATAAAAATCTAAATAATAGTAAAATATTTTTATACTTTATGCATTTTATAAATGTTTTATCTTAAGTTTATCTTAAAGTGGAAAGTAAAAAAAAGCAAAAGATATAAAACCCCTAAGGATCTAAGTTCTAAATTTTGAATGATGATAGTGATGCTAATGCATTTCTTGAATCCTTTAAAATTGTTTTTAAGCTTAAGATATCACCTGTAGTACCATACTATACCTTATTGATTTTTTTAACCTTTGCATACATTAATAATTGAGAATCATGCTAATTAAACTTGTTAAATTAAGCGTTATCTGATTTTTATGTACATTTTAAAGTTTTTAGCCGCGGAAAAAAACCATATAAATTTCGCTTTGTTTTTAATTAAATTATTGAAGCGGAAAAGTTTATTTTCATCAAATATGTATCGTTTAAAAATTGTTAAATCCATTAGTTCTCAAGTCTAAAGAAGTTTAAAGCTTATGATCACTGAATTGTAAGAGATTTCTTCCTGTTACTGATTTTCAAGAGTCCCCTTCAAGAAAGT